CTTCTCCAGCACTTTCTGCTCAGGGGGGGAAGGAAGGTTCACACCTGGTGTCTGCTTTCACACCCGGGGTGTTGGGGGGTTTCCTCACCTGGCCAGTCCTCCCAGTCCTTCCACCTCGGGGATCTGGAACTTCTGTGTGTGTGTGTGTGTGTGTGTGTGTGTGTGTGTGTCCCGAATTCCTCAATACATCGCCCTGCCAGTGAAACAAATTGTTAGTCTCCATTTTTAGTCTCTTTGTTTAACTGCCCTCCCTCCCCCCGTGTGTGTGTTACCTGCTGGTGACTTTGCCTGTACATTGTTGAGATGCTTTACCTGAAACAAAAATGACTCTTAAGTCTGCGTGGGTAAAATGCAGTCTTTAAAAAAGTAGTATCTGAGGAGAGTAATGGCTTTCAGAGATCACCTTCCTCTTACATGTGTCTTCTTTTGGTAGTTACAGTGACTGCCCGTCGAGGTGAGCTCTTTGTAAGGCTCTGTTGTGGTTGCTGTCATTGTTTACTGAAGAAGAACTAACTGTGCTGCTCTGTGCCAGGCAAAATTAAATTAAATATTGTCTGAAGCACAAGGTAAGGAAACTGAAAAGACATTCAGTGACTCCAGCCTTGTGTGGCAAAACCATTCCTTGCAGGAAAGAAAAATGCCCTTAGCATAGTTAAAGAAAATAAACCTGCAGTGCTGATTGATAGATGAGCTTTATGTCCATTATTACCTTATTTCTCAAGTTCCATAATAAACAGGTAGTTATTTTAAAATCCTTCCTTGCTGTTACTGAAGAGCCAAGGGAAAACCTGGCAGTGTTAGTGCTCTGTTCCCATGCTGGAAGCCAAACTTCCAAACATTTCACTTGAGGATAGTAAGTTTTCATTTACTTTTTAGTTCTCATTCCTTTGGCAGACTTTGTTATGGAGATGAAAATGCAAACGTTTATTTTTTTCCTTTTAGAAAGGATATTTGTTTAGTATTGTTGAAAATAACAAACAGAACCTGACAGCTCCCCACCTCTGGTAGGACTTTGCTGTCTTGTGTCCCAAGAAACTGCTGAATTCCATTGCTTTCTAATACAGTCTGGAATTATTTTTAAGCAGCTTTCTTTTTCTGAGGAGTCTCAAGTCCAGACTCTGAAGCCTTTTTATCTTCTG